AATAATCTACAGAAAGGAGCAGAATGGTGAGTCGAGCATAGGTACGCAAGTATGATTTTGTCTGTCCGCAGTACGGCTCAACCTTACCAAAGTTTTCAGATTTATACCTTAAAAGCTAAGAATTAGTGCCCAAAGTTCAATCAACATACCGTCCTCGGTGACATTATGGTGCATGTACACATCGTCATTGCCATTTTCCCACTCAGAGAACTGCCCTGATGGCGACGTCAAGCGCAGCGACATCGGAAACGGATCTAGCATTGGCTGAATCCATGCAATATATCAGCTACAAGCAGTTTTCTTATTACAGCAACTCACGCTAAGTGTGACACTCAATGTCATGTTCTTTTCGAGTGTCTCATACAGACATGTCATCCGAGCATCGAGATTCATTACAATACTTCGTGAGACCTCTGTCACATTTCCAATGGAGGAATGCCTGCTGAGAGCATAGGAACAAGGAATTAGAGGTAGAAGAATGAGGATAAACATCCTGAAAGATTTTGTCTTAATTTTCTGACTACTTGGTAATGTTAGTCGTTGATAGAGAACGACGGGAGAACAAGAAGACGGCTTAGAGTCAATAACATAAGGAAACAACTAGTGGTTTGCAAATCAGTGACATGAACTGAGAGAAACGAGTCGAGGAAAGCATTTTGAAGCAAGCATTCCAGATTACAAAACACTACATATAATCAATACTCGTCTCTTCTTAAATGCAAATTGGGTTTCTTGGAAATTTGGGATCAAACGCGCTGGACCAGTAGGAAAGTAGAGCATAAATGACTACAGCTGAGTATATGTACAGTGATGTACTGCAGTGTGAAGGACTAGGCGATTGGCTGCTTCTGCCACAACTCTGCTTAGCGAAAATCAAAACAGACAGTCACCAACTTATTGATTCATTTTCCTCACCGGTTTCTGTGTATGCAGCTTGCCTTTTTTGGTTCTGTCTCCCATTTAAATTGAACTAATCAATCTTTCCGTAAGTGTGTCTGTATGTTTGCACTTTTCCTACCTATACGCGATGAAGATAACACATCGATGAGCAGCTGCCACTAGAATACATTGATCGGGACTTGTTCGGTCTCTTGTTATTTAACCAAATCCGAGTGGACAATGGCAACTTCAGTAGCCACCCTTCAAAGTATTGTCAAAAGACCAGGATATGTTTAGAATTACAGTCTGCCCCAATTCCAAGTAGACCGAAATTGGCATGACGTCGGTCCGCGGCGCTGGGCTTTTGCACCGCGCGCCTAAGGCACCCGCCATACTTGATCCTCTTGATCCTCTTAA